GGCTTCCCCCTGCTGCTGCAGGAGGCCCTCCGGAGTGTCAAGGCTGAAGTGAGTGCGGGGGCTGGGTCAGGGGCTGGGAGAGGCACTGGGGCCTTGGGGCAGGCGCAGCATCCACTCGGGACCGGTTCCCGAATTCACAGACACTTCCGCAGCTCCCACACGCTGGCCATGGCCAGCTATCTGACTGCAGGCTGTTCTGTTGTACACGTGTGACCGTGACCATAGACCTACTGCATGTTCTCACGTGTGCTAGGTTTCACTTTGAAAACTGGACTTAGAGGGTGCGAATAGCCCAGGTCTCTTAAATGCCTCCCACGTGCAAGCCCTTGGCTCCCTGAATTCGCCCGCCAGGGCTCTGCAGAGTAGACCGCGGGTTCTTCTGTCAGCAGTGCTGAGCGGTGCGCAGCTCGGGGAAAGTCAAAGCCTGCGGCAGGTGCCGAGGAGCCCCGCAGCCGCCCGCGTTGAGCCCGTTGGTGTCTGCGTCTCCCTTCATAATAACAAAGGAGGACACACGGGGTTGGGGCTTCCGCATCTCTTTCCCCCTCTGAAGTGTACCTGGGACCTGAACTCCACCACCTCGTAGTCTCGCGTTCGGTGGTGTCAGCCCCACGCTGCAGGTGAGGGGGCTGAGGCCGTTGTCTCAGGCGCCCCAGCTGTTCCGCTGGAGCTGGGATTTGTGCCTAGCTGAACGCTGTTGCCGTCGGGTGCTGGTGCTGCACCCTGCACAGGGCAGGGTAACTGGGAAGCAGTGGCTCAGTTTCTTCACCTGTGAAGTGGGAATGTAGTAGCCCCGCCACCCGAGGGGTCACTGGGAAAAGGTGACATAGGACAGCGCATGTCAGTCAGACCCTCAGCCCACAGCAGGATGCAGGGTGCACCCCTGGTGGGTGGGCGGTGGGGCGAGCCAGGCCAGGGAGCCGCCCCCCACAGCCGTGCCTGTGCCGCCGCCCCCAGATTGGCCAGGCCATCGAGGAGGTCAACAGCAACAACCAGGAGCTGCTGCGCAAGTACCGCCGGGAGCTGCAGCTGCGCAAGAAGTGCCACAACGAGCTCGTGCGGCTGAAAGGTGACCGTGACCGCCAGGCGGGCCGGGCCGGGGGTGCTGCCCCATGGAGGAGCTAGACCAGGACACGGAGCCGCAGAGCGGTCAGGGAACATGCTCCAGGCTGTGTGGCGGAGAACGGTCTGCCTCGGGCGTGTGCAGCGCTGAAGCCCCCGCCCAGCGCCCGCAGCAGTTCACTCCCCGGGGCCCTGGGTAGTGGCGGCTGGGTTGCCACTTGTTCTCACCTGGGGCCTGCACGGAAGCCTGGGTGCTCTGTGCCAGGTGCTGCCGCCCCAGAGGTGCCGTCCCTGCCCTCATGGTACTCGCCTTGGCTGGGAGAATGGACAGTGACTGTCACCCAGGGGACCCTAACTGTGTTCCCTTACGAAAGAGCCGGGAGGCGCTCTGACAGCCCCTGGTATGGGACAGATGTCGGTGTGTAGGGGGCTCCTGGAGGAGGCAGAGCTGTAACTGACACCTGGCCTGTGAGCTGGACGGGGACTAGGAGGGGAAGGAAGGGGGGGCCATGTTGGGGGGGGTGCTGGGATTCCACGAGTGGGTTGGAAGCAAGGGGTGCATGACCAGCTCATGCTGCCAGACACCCTTGGGTGCCCCAGTGTCTCTGCCCAGCTGTCTGCCTGCCTCCTGGCCTGATGGCCGAGCCCTTCTAGAATGACCAGAAAACGTCCTTGGCTCATCAAGGCTCCAGCTGCTCGTTGAGGGGTGAGGAAGCCAAGGTCCAGAGGGCAAGGTCTCTTCTCAGGCTGGGGCAGTGCCGGAGCCCCACCAGTGCCACCCGCCTTTCCTCCCAGCCCCAAGGCAGAGCCCCCAGGGCTGCATTGCTCAAAGGCATACCACAGTGCAGGGGATGGATGACAGCCCTGGGAGGGGGGCTCCTGGACCTCTCGCCTTCCTGGAACACCAGAGGGTACCAGTGTGAAGGCCATGTGGTTTATTTTATTTTTCGAAGATTGATTTATTTGAAAGGCAGAGTTAGAGGCAGAGAGAGAGGTCTTCCATCTACTGGTTCATTCTCCAAATGGCTGCAATAGCTGCAGCTGCGCCGATCTGAAGCCAGGAGCCTGGAGCTGCTTCTGGGTCTCCCATGGGGGTGCAGGAGCCCAAGGACTTGGACCATCTTCTGCTTTCCCAGACTATTAGGGAGCTGGATTGGAAGTGGAGCAGCCGTAACTCGAACTTGTACCCATATGGTTTTTTTTTATTTTTCTTTTTTTCTTTTTCTTTCTTTTTTTTTTTTTTTTTTTTGACAGGCAGAGTGGACAGTGAGAGAGAGACAGAGAGAAAGGTCTTCCTTTGCCGTTGGTTCACCCTCCAATGGCCGCCGTGGCCGGCGCGCTGCGGCCGGCGCACCGCGCTGATCCGATGGCAGGAGCCAGGAGCCAGGTGCTTTTCCTGGTCTCCCATGGGGTGCAGGGCCCAAGCACCTGGGCCATCCTCCACTGCACTCCCTGGCCACAGCAGAGGGCTGGCCTGGAAGAGGGGCAACCGGGACAGAATCCGGCGCCCCGACCGGGACTAGAACCCGGTGTGCTGGCGCCACTAGGCGGAGGATTAGCCTAGTGAGCCGCGGCGCCGGCCCCCTTATGGTTTTATCCACTACACCCCAGCACCACCCCCGGCTTTGTACTTTTTAAATATTTGTCGGAGATGCAGAGAGAAAAGAGACAAAAAGACCTTCCCTCCACTGGTTCACTCTCCAGGTGGCTGCAACAGCCAGTGCTGGGCCAGGCAGAAGCCAGGAGCCTGCAGCTCCATCCAGGTCTCCCACCAGGTGCAGGGGCCCAAGCACTTGGGCCATCCTCTGCTGCTTTCCCAGGTGCTTTAGCAGGGAGCTGGGTCAGAAGTGGAGCAGCTGGCACTCAAACCAGTGCCCACATGGGAGCCTCATTGCACGCAGAGGCTTAGCCCACTGCGCCAAGATGCCAGCCTTGGCAGTCTGCTCTAGACCCGGCCTGGGCCCTTCTCTCCACCCCCAACCAACTCAGGGAACATCCGGGTGATTGCTCGTGTCCGGCCAGTCACCAAAGAGGATGGGGAAGGCCCGGAGGCGACCAACGCAGTGACCTTCGACCCTGATGACGACTCCATCATCCACCTGCTGCACAAGGGCAAGCCCGTGTCCTTTGAGCTGGACAAGGTCTTCTCGCCGTGGGCCTCGCAGCAGGACGTGAGTGCAGCCCAGAGGGACAGACAGACTCGTGGGGAGAGCCAGACGGAAGGTGGTGGGGACGAGTGAGAAGCAAAGACTGAGGGCCTCAGAAGCCTCCCGTGGGAAGGGCCGGGTTGCCTGCAGACCACCCCACCCCACCCATGTGTCAGGCCCTGCCCACCATGTGGCTCCTCCCATTTATGTGATCCAGGGCCCCTAAGCGCCCTCTCCTGCCAAGAATACCCTCTTTTGTGGTTAAAGATTTATTTATTTGCTTCCAGCTGCTGGTTCACCCCCCAAATGGCTGCAGTAAAGCCAGGGCTGGGCCAGGCTGAAGCCAAGAACCAGGAGCTTTTTACGGGTCTCCCATGCGGGTGTAGGAGCCCAAGCACTTGGGCCATCTTCCACTGCTTTCCCAGGCCATTAGGGAACTGGGTGGGAAGTGGAGTAGCTGGGACATGAACTGGCACCCATATGGGATGCCTGTGCTGCAGGCTGTGGCTTAACCCACTGTGCTACAGCACTGGTCCCAAGGATACCCTCTTGTATCAGTCCCCTGGATCTTGCTAGGGCTTCTGTCCCCTCAGGTACATGGGTGCTGTGTGGTCTCTGCATCCCCCTTTCTCTGCCACACCCAGTCCCCCGGGCCTGTCCTGCCTGTGCCCTCCTGTTCCCACGTCCACCCCTTTGTTCCTGCATGGTCTGCTGGCGGCAGGCCCTGGAGGTACAGGTGCAGGCAGGTGCCTACCTCTGCCTTCATTCACTGAGCTGCACGGGGGACCACGCACCGGCGTTGGTGGAAGCACCCCAGCTGCCCACCAGTGTCCAGCACGGGGGGCTGGAGAGCAGGGAGCATCAGCAGGGCCACAGGCCATGGTGTTGCTGGGGGCGAGCGGGCTTGGAGCTGGCGGGGCCCCACAGTCCGTCACACTCCTCTTCCAGGTGTTCCAGGAGGTGCAGGCCCTGGTCACCTCCTGCATCGACGGCTTCAACGTCTGCATCTTCGCCTATGGCCAGACGGGCGCTGGCAAGACGTACACCATGGAGGTAGGTGCTGCCCGCGGGGCACCCCTCACGGACACCGGGGTTCTGCACAGCGTGTGTTTTGCCTCGGGAGCAGAGGCCCCGAGACCCCAGGCCACTTTAAACTGGGGCCTAGGCAGCAGTTGCTGCCGCCAGTGGAGGGGGCGTTTGGGGGACATGACCAGCAGGCAGGGAGGTGCTCTGGGTAGGGAGGCTCCCCTGGAGTGGTGGCCGAGGGGCTTAGGGGCAGCAGATGCCACGTGAGCATGGCACAGCCCCCCCCCCCCCCCCGAGAGGCCTGGCTCACGGGGCCCTTTCCTTCTTTAGGGAACCCCCGAGAACCCTGGCATCAACCAGCGGGCACTGCAGCTGCTCTTCTCCGAGGTGCAGGAGAAGGCGTCCGACTGGGAGTACAACATCACCGTCAGCGCCGCCGAGATCTACAACGAGGTCCTCAGGTGCAGGCGCCAGCCCCACAGGCGGCTGTGGGCACCGCTGGGGACTGGACGAGAGGGACTGTGGAGGGGGGCTCTCCTTGTGGGCTGCAGGGGCAGTGGTGCACAGCAGACAGCAGCTGAGGCTCTGCCCACAGAGCTGCTCACTGTGGAGGCAGGAATGGCGCCATCTACAGGACTCTTGGGGAACAGCAGAGTGCAAGGGAGCAGCTGGAGGAGCAGGGATCTAGGTGGGGAGCTAGGAGAGGCCTCACCTGGGAGGAAGGAGTAACCGCCCTCCCCCGGCCCCGCCCCTCCAGGGACCTGCTGGGGAAGGAGCCTCAGGAGAAGCTGGAGATCCGGCTGTGCCCAGATGGCAGTGGGCAGCTGTATGTGCCAGGACTGACCGAGTTCCGGGTGCAGAGTGTGGACGACATCAACAAGGTGTGTGGCTGGGGGGCTCTGGGGGAAATGCTGGGGAGACCCTGGGCCCACGCAGAGCTGCTGTGGACCAGGACGAAGCCAGGTTCCACGGCAGCTTCTGCCCTGCCCTGTGTGACTCGGGCCTGCCCCTGTCTGCTCTGAGCCTGTTTGCTCCTCTCCGGTGTGGAAGGGCGGGCGTCTGCGGCAGTGATGTCCACGTGCCATAGCAGTTTCCAGGCCCGATTGCTCTGCTTCCCCTCCACTTCCCTGGTAATGTGGCTCCTGAGAGCAGCAGGCGATGGCTCAAGTACTTGGGTCCTTAGTTCGCCCCTGGGAGACCTGCGTTGAGTTCCAGGCTCCTGGCTTTGGCCTGGCCCTGCCCTGGCTGTTGTGGGCATTGAGGGACCGATGTCCCTCAGCTGGGAGATGTCTGCGAGGGGCGTTGGGGCCAGGGCGATTCCGAAGACCTGTTCTGAACCCTGCGCCCCAGGTGTTTGAGTTCGGCCACACCAACCGCACGACGGAGTTCACCAACCTGAATGAGCACAGCTCCCGCTCGCACGCCCTGCTCATCGTGACGGTGCGGGGCACGGACTGCAGCACGGGCCTGCGCACCACGGGTGAGCGCTGGACCCTGGGCAGCCTGGGCGGAGGCCCCCCCGCGGCAGGCAGCCCTGACCTGGCTGGCACCCTCCCTGCAGGGAAGCTGAACCTGGTGGACCTGGCTGGCTCAGAGCGCGTGGGCAAGTCGGGAGCCGAGGGCAGCCGCCTGCGGGAGGCGCAGCACATCAACAAGTCGCTGTCGGCGCTGGGGGACGTCATTGCCGCCCTGCGCTCGCGCCAGGGCCACGTGCCCTTCCGCAACTCCAAGCTCACCTACCTGCTGCAGGACTCGCTCAGCGGCGACAGCAAGACCCTCATGGTGGTGCAGGTGGGCGCTCGTCATGGGCTGGCACCAAGACGCGTTCCGGGGCCCCCCCCCCCCCCCCCCGAGCACCACGCTCCTGAGTCAGTGATGTGTGTGCCTCGCACACCCTCCTCCCTCCCCTCCTCGGAATCACTGTCCCTCTGGTGCTACGGGGGTGGCTGGCTGGCCTGGGTGGGCTGACCACTCTGTTCCCCAGGTGTCCCCTGTGGAGAAAAACACCAGCGAGACGCTCTACTCGCTCAAGTTTGCCGAGCGGGTACGCTCTGTGGAGCTGGGCCCTGGGGCTCGGCGCACAGAGCTGGGGTCCTGGTCCAGCCAGGAGCATCTGGAGGTAAGGGAACCACCCCAGGCCCATCTCGGGCTGGCCCGGGGCAGGAGGGGCGTGAGCAGCAGGAAGGGGCTTAGGGGACCGACTGGGCCTATGGGTGAAGGGGGTGGAGCTAGAACGAACCCAGATGCCGCAGCTCTTTAGTCCAGATCTGTCATGGTCAGGGAGGCCTGCAGGCCTGGCACACGGAGTACCAGCGTCTCACTTAACGAGAGCCCGTCTCAGGGAGCATAAGAGTTAATACGCCCATTCACAGATGAGGAAACTGAGGTTTGGGGAGGGAGGCCCAGCCATTGTCCTCCTCCATTCACAGTGGGAGCCAGCTTGCCAGGCACCGCAGCCCTCAGCACGTGCCCACTCAGCCCCCGGCTCAGGGACCACGAGCCGTGCGGGCTCCATCCGAAGGAAGCTGCAGCCCTCGGGTAAGCCCCCAACCCTACCCCCTCCATCATCACAGCCCCCAGGTGCCCTACCTGGGTGGGCTTTTCTAGTCTCTGAACCTCTGTCACCCTGTCCCCTGCCCTGCAGCGTCGGGCACACAGCGCTGGGTCCACTTTACAAAAGGAGGGAGGGGCCGGTGTGAGGAGCAGCCCAGCCCTCCTGCTGCCTAACTGGGGCTGGCCGGGCTCAGGGAGCAGGCCAGGGACCCCTACCCTGGGCACAGAGAGGGCGGAGCCCACCTGTGTCCTGGAGAGGCGAGCCCCGGCACAGGTGCCAGTACCCACTGGAGGGCCGGCAAAGGGCTAGGGTTGGCAGGACCCCGTGGGGGCCTGGCCTGAGGCACGCCCCCAGTGAGACGCCTGTCGCTTTGATTTCAGCCTGAAGGCTGGGCTGCAGAGTCTCCAGGTGAGTGTGGGGCCAGCGGCCCAGCGCTGCACACCCGCCTGCCTGGGTGGCGGGGCTGGCTCTGTCCCCGCTGCCTGCTGTCTGTGTGCTTCTGCGGGCTCCCTCCTGCTCTCGCAGCACCGCTGTGGGCACCCCTGCCCGCTGCTGGCCCGCAGCTGACCTCCCCGCCTCCCCTCCCGCAGGGAAGTCGAGGCCCTTGCCTGTGTGATGGATGGACAGCCGGCCGTGCTCGCCGGCTCGCAGGAGACAGGGACGTCCCGGCCCCTCGCAGAGCAAGAAGCAGCGGCTCGGGCTCACCAGTGGCGCGGACGGCGTGAGCTGCAAGGGTGGGCTGGCCAGCTGCCCCCAGGCCCGCGGGGTCTCCCAGAAGGCACCGAGGGGCTCCAGCCACGTGTACATAGCATTCCCGGGGCGCGGGGCCTCAGCTGCTCCCCCCGGCGCCTGGCAGCAGGCACTCCAGCGTTCCCACCTCTCCCCCTCTGAAGTCCTATTTAAGAACTTTTGGAAGCGTAGCCATTTTTACTTCTTAAAATAAAAGCCTTTTTTTACACGAGTGTGGTCTGAAAGAGCTGGGCTGGCCAGCCCTCGGTCCAGCCGCAGGGGGTGTGGCCTGCTCACCCCCTCTGCCCAGGGTTCACAGGGGCCAGCCCCGCCCCTGGCTGCTGCAGCCATCCCACGGGTGTCTCCTCCACGCAATAGGTGGGAAACTGCAGGGTGCGGCTGGGGCTCCGCTCTCCCCCACTCCCCCTGCACCAGCCTGTGCTGAGTCCCAGCCCTGGGAACTTGTGCAGCGGGGAAGGGCAGTACAGAGCCGCCCTCAGCGGATGGGGCGACGGCGCTGGCCGTGGGCACCCCCTCACCTGGTACGCAGCCATGGCGGGGTGGACCTGACTTAGCCCTTTGCTGCTGTGCCCTGCTGGTCAGACAGCCTGCAGCACCAGGGCTGGCAGTCCTGGGAGAGCCTGGGGGCCAGACAGTGCCCCTCCCCACGAGGAGAGCAGGCAAGAGTTACAAATTTAATAAAATTCACCTTATAAATTACAGTAGCAGCCCTGGGGCTCAGTTCGCTGCCTAAGCAGGCAGAGCTGGGCAGCCATTGCTGGAGTTGAGTTCGAGGCTCTGGAGGTGCCGAGGGCCCAGCGTCGCCTCCTCCAGGACAGCTCGGGGTGGCGGCAGGGGCCAGGCAGGGGCTTGCAGGCCGGTGAAGACGCGGGGAGCAGGCGCTGGCCCCCTGGGGGCACCTCAGTCTAGACTGGCCATGAGCAGGTGCAGCTCGCGGAAGGCACTGCCGTGGCGGCCGCTCAGGCCCGACTTGCTCTTGACGAGGCCACTGATGCCCTTGAGCTGCTTGTAGCAGAGCCGGCACTTGTGCAGCCTGCAGATGACAGGGCAGCCCTGAGGACACGCGTGTCCTAGCCAGGGCTCCACCCAGGCCGTGCACCAGGCCACCCCCCACACCGGCGCCCTCGCCCCGCCCCTCACCTCTCCTCCCGGCTGATGTCCACGCCCACGGAGGGCGGCGCTGCCAGGATGTCTGTGATGAGGGGCAGAAACCGCTGCAGGATCAGCTTCAGGGAGGTGCAGCCCGTCTGGACGTAGCTTCAGGGCAGACGGAGGGGGGCGTCACCCACAAGCGGAGAGTGCGGTCGCGGACGGGCCCGTGACCACCCCTCCTGCCACCAGGCGTGCCTTCCCCGCACGCACCTCTCATACTTGCTCTGCAGAAGCTTCTCGATCTGCGGCAGGACGGTGGTGCACAGGTCCAGCTTCCACAGGGAGCTGGGGAGAGGCGGGGGACAGGCCCCGTCAGCCCGGCCACACCCCTGCCCCTCGGCCCGCCCGCCCGCTGTGGCCACTTACGCTTTCTGGTTGACGATGTTCAGCAGGTCCACCACCACCGAGAGGTCATTGATGGCCACCGCCGAGTCCACCGAGGTCTGCACAGACAGAGCTGGGTCAGGGTGGGCGGGGCTGCCCCACCACGATGAGCTCAGGCCAGGCGTGGAAGGCGATGCGGCTTGGGGTGACGGGGAGGGGGCCCAGCCCACCACGGCTCTGCCTGCCCAGCCCCGCTCCGTCCCCACTCAGATCAGCCCCAAGGCCCCCGAGCAGGGAGGGACACTAGCCTTGATGTCGCCCGTGGTCCACACGGCACGCACGGTGTCCAGGTTCTTGTGGCGGCTGGTGAGCACCACGCACATGGTGTCGTGCCCCTTGCGGATCTGCGACATGGCATCCTCGTCCACCAGCTCCGCCTGCTGGGGGATCTTCACGGCCTGTGTGGGACAGCCCCAGAGGATGGCGGCAGGGCTCCTCCTGCACCCGGGGGGCATCCGCCCTGCCCCACCCCACTCACAGGCAGGAAGTCGGAGGCCTTGAGCCCAATGGGCTCATTCCGGGTGGCAGGGATGATGGCGGGCTCACCCTTGGGTGCAGATGTGGAGGTGATGACGGGGGGCCGGGGCGGGGCCTCGAGCTGAAAGAGGGGAAAGCTCAGCAGGGGGCCAGCAGAGGGCCCCTTCTGCCTCCCAGCATGGGGCACCCTCAGCCGTGCGAGGGAGCCCTGCCCCGGAGCCGCACGCTGCACGCTCGATTTGGACGTACATTTGGCGTGGGGAGCTGCACGTCCATGGCAGGGCTGGGCCTCGCTGCCTCCTTCGCCGCGGGCGTGTCTGCAGGCCAGAGGAAAGGCTTGCTGGGGCAGGCCAGGATGCGGGCCGGCGGGTGGGGGACAGGGCCCCGGGGAGCCAGCGAGGCCGGGGCGGGGCCTGTCCTTCCCTCTGCTTGGGGGCTTACTGCTGGAACCCAGGAGCCCCAGGGTGTGTGGCACAGGGGATGCGCTGTGCGTGTGTGATGGTGAGAAGGCAGTGGGGAGGGAGAGGCTCGGAGGAAACCAGCTTTGAGGGAGGAGGAGGAGACGGTCCCCCAGGGAGCCAGGCGGAGGGCGGACGCCCTGCCCCCTCCAGCATAGGGCAGGTGACGTCTTCCTTCTGGGCCTGCCTCCAGCAGGGACTCACCCAGCTCCCGCTCTGGCCTCCCTCTCTCACCAGGCCCTCGGGCCTCCCCCAGAGCCTCCTGCCCATCTGGCTGGCTGGCTCCCACCTGCTCACCACACAGCTGGGTGTGCGCCCCCAGCGGGAGCACCCGCCCTGTCGTGCTCACGCTTGGTCACCACAGCCGTGCACAGGTGGGCACACAGTAGGTGTGTTTAGAAAGGTGGAGGGAAAGACCCAGGGAGAGAGGGGCTCCCGGCAGGCCAGGTGCAGCCCCCTACTCACCATCCTCTGGGGGTGCTGGGAAGGGCTCGCTTCTTCGGGGCGGTGTCCGGCCTGCAAAGGTGGGGGGTGGGGAGGGGGCGGGGCTGAGGACTGGCCCTGGCCTGCCCAGGGCTCCTGTCTGGGACCCTCGCCCAGCCCCCTCCCAGCCCACTTGCCCACCATGGGCCTTCCCTTCCCTCTGCTTTGTTCCGCCCGTGGGACCAGGACAGGTGTGGGCCCCCAGGGAACAGGCGGGGGGCCGGGCCTCACTGATGCTGTTCTTGGGCTGGAAGATCTCGTTGTAGTCCTCGGCGTTCTGGATCTCCGCGCGGGACTCGCGCTCGTCCCGGTCCTCCTCGCTGCTCGGGCTGCGGCGCTCGCTCTCCGAGTTCTGCTTCACCCTGGGAGCACAGGGCCAGGCCACAGGGAAGCCGGGGCCTCCAGTGAGCAGCCTTTCCCAGGATGCCCTGCGCACCCCGGCCTCCGCCACCCCGTGCCCTTCACGGCCCCTGCACCTCTGAGGCTTGCTGCAGGTCGTGCTGGGCCGCTCATAGATGCGCCGGAGCGGGGCGCTGGGGTTGGGGGGCTGCTGCGCCAGGGGCCGGCTGTCCTGCACGGGGTCCTGGGCCACCGTGCCTGTCCTGGTGACCCGCGTCAGGTCCACCACGTAAGAGGAGACGTTGCTCTGGGCGAAGGCCACGCCTATCTGCAGGAAGCGGCAGGGCTGGGGCTGGGGCCAGGGGCCCAGAGAGGCAGGGCAGGAGCGGGCGGGGCCCGGGGTGGGGGTGGGGGTGGGCACTGGGCGCGTGGCGCTCACCAGCTGGTCGTTGCAGATGGCCAGGTCGGCCACCTTGCCCCAGTTGACGAGGACCACGTCGAAGCAGCGCTCGGGCTCCCAGCCGTAGACGCGCAGTGAGTCCTGGCAGCCACTGTACAGGCAGCAGCCGTCGGGGTTGAAGAGGACGCTCCTGGGCCAGGCGAGAGGCGGCGGTGGGGCTGGGGGCACCCGGCCCGGGCCCCACCCCCAGAAACCTGGGGAGCCCAGGTGAGGGAGGGAGCAGAAGCAGAGGTGGGAAAGGCCCACCTGTACCCGCGCCCCGCGTCCCCCGGCCCAGCTGCCTGCACGCGTACCTCACGGGCCCTGGCTCCCCTTCGATGCAGCTCACCACCTGGAATTTCTCCAGATCCCAGAACCGGATTGTCCTGCAAAGGCAGCCACACTGTGTCATCCTCCACACAGGCCCGCGGCCTGGCCAGGCCCTCTGACGACTGTCCGGAAGCCTCCCCAGCAGGGCCATCGAGAGCAGCGGCAGGGGCAGGGGCTGGCCCAGCACAGGCAGAGGGCGGAGCCTAGTAAGCACCCAGAGCTGGCCCCAAAAGCCACAGGCCTGGCGGCACTGAGTCCCCACTAGGACATGAGGGCCGGGGCCCAATCCCGGCTCGGCTGGGAGCCAGTGCGGTCCCCACGAGCTCATTGGTCTCACAGGACACCCAGGCCAGAGGGGCAGCGGGCGTGGGAGAAGCGCGCGCTCCTCCTCACCTGTCAGAGCTGCCGGAGGCCAGGAGGTACTCGTTGGGGTGGAACTCCACCACGTTCACGGGCCCCGTGTGGCCCGGGAACTCGGACATCATCTTGCCGGCAGTCAGGTCCCAGAGCTGGGGCAGAGGCGGGGAGGTCAGGGGCGGGCTGGGCACCTCCGTGGCCCGCTTTCCCTACGATGCAGCCCGAGCACTGGGGACAAGCTTGGGATGTGCCAAGGGGTGTGGGGTGTGAATATACTCAGGAGGCTGCAGCGGGAAGACCCAGCCCCCGGGGCCCCGCGCCCAGGTCGGGCCAGGAGCTACCTTCACTGTGTGGTCATCTGCAGCCGACGCCAACCACTTCCCGTCGGGGCTGAACCGCAGACACCGCACGGCCTGGCTGTGGCCCTGTGGAGGAACAGAGGCCCTGTGGAGGCCACGCTCACGGCCGGGCCCGCAGCCTCTCCCACCTCCCTGTCCTGTCCCTGCCCCGGCGGACAGGCAGAGGGGACAATGGGCCACAACTGGGAGGTGTCGCAGAGGGACACGTCTCCACGTGTGAATGCAGACTCCCAGGCCAGGAGGACGCCCCAGGAAATCAGAGCACTCGTGTGCTCCCGTGGACAGGACCCTGGTGCCTGCCTTACCCAGGCATGGAGCCCAGGAAGATAAGCACCACTTGGTGGTGGTGGTGGGGTCACGGAAGCCAGGGGTCCAGCTGGACCACCCCGCCCTGCCACAGCACACCAGAGTTGGTCAGCAGCCCCCCACCTCTGCCAGGGTCTGCGAGGCACCCAAGGAATGAGCGACAGGGGGCGCTGTCCTTACCCGGTATCGGAAGACGCAGCCTTTCCTCCTGATGTCCCACAGCTGTGGGGGAGACAGGCAGAGAGACAGTCAGGAGAAGTCGGGCCACAGAGCTGGAGCCTGGGCCAGGGGCCGGTGAGCAGCCCCGAGCACAGAGGGCTCTGGGCTCCTCCAGGTCGGGACCCCCGCCCCAGACAGAGGTCTGGAATCCACTCGTGGAAGCTGGGTGTTCTGGGCAGAAGCCTGCGGTTCCCCTCCCCTGGGGGCCGTGGACCCTGCCGCAGAGAGGGAAGAAGCCCCCGGCACAGGCACCCTCCCCTCTCCCCCGCCACCCAGCAGGCAGCATGGGGGGGGGGGGGCAGGCCTGTCCCTCGGGAGGCGCGAGGACAGGGCGGGGCCTCACCTTGATGTTTGTGTCCTGGGAGCCCGAGGCCACAAACTCGCCATAGGGGTGGAAATCCAGGCTGCAGATGTTGGCTTTGTGCCCCATGAGCGTGCGCAGAACTAGCAAGGAAGAAAGCGGGCAGCGGCGTGAGATGCCAGGCGGAGGAGGGCCGCCGGGGCTGCGTGGGCTTTGTATGAACCGCACAGAACAGAAGGTGGGTCTTGGAGGGAGGGGAGGGGAGGGCGTCGTGGCGCGGTGCTGAAGCCGCTCCTTGGGATGCCTGCGTCTCTTAGCAGAGGGCCTGGGGTCCAGTGCCGCCTCTGCTGCTGCCCCAGCTCCCTGCGAATGCGCCTGAGAAGACAGCGGATGATGGCCCAAGGACTTGGTACCCTGCCACTACGTGGGAGACCTGGATTGAGGCAGTGAACCAGGGGATGGAGGCTCGCTCGCTCTCTGCCATTCAAATAAAACTTAAAAAAAAAAAAGGGGGGGGGGGGGGGGGGGGAAGTCAAACAGAATCACAGCACCCTCTCAATTTTCCTCTTGGGTGACAGCAGCCATTGTGGCCATCACTCTACTCCCCCGAAAACGAACCTCAAAGCTCCCCACAGCCTGTGCCTTTGGGGTCACCCCAGTGCGTTCTCTCTGTAGCAAAGCCCCAGAGGGAGCAGAGCCGAGCAGCCCTGGGTACAGCTCAGGCCCTGGGAACATGGAGCTTGTAGACTGCAGGGCATCTGGCCCCGCCTGACAGCACAAGGACAGAGATTAGGAGAGGCTCAAGCTGGGGGAGAAGCTGCTTAGTTGAAAAGAGAAGTCCAGGAAGGCTTTCTGGAAGAGGTGGCATTTTGCTGCTTAGCCGTGGATGGAAAACAAGGGATGCAATGCTGGACCCACGTGACTTGTGGGCAAAGCCCCAAGGAAAGCAGGCAGGGGAATGTCTGGGTGCTCACACTGGTCTTCTGGGGTGACCCAGTCTGAGGGACCCCAAGGGTGGCCTTGGGGACCAGCTGGGCAGCTATGAGAACCGAGAGAGCACAGGGAGGGAACAGGAAGGCGCAGCAAGGGCCAGCGACTGCTCAGGGCTGGGGACCGACCTCCTCTACAGCCCCAGGGAACCAGTCTCTATGCTCTGCAGCCAGGGCTGGCCCCGCCCGGACGCACACTTCGCTATGTCTCGGGGTGCTGTGTACTCTACTGCGTCTCATGTGTCTCGCTTTTTGAAAGACTGACAATTCCACTGCTGGAATGCAACTGAGGGGCCCCTGGAAGCTGCAGCCTGGGGTGTGGGAGCCCAGCCAGCCGGAAGTCGGAGTAACAGGGTGCCTCGGGAGGCAGCCAGCCCTTCATTAAAGGAGGCAAGGACTCCAGACACGAGGCTTCAGGGACAGGAGGGCAGAGGTGTAAGCTCTGGGTGCGTTAAGTGAACCCTACAATCTCCACCCCGCAACACCAGCCCACAGCCCCGCCACCAGACAGACTGGATGGGACCTGACTGTTCCTCACTTGCGGGGTGACCCCAGGCAGTCACTGACCCTCTTGAGCTTCCTGTTAGATTCTAGAAACAATCAGGAAAATGAATGTAGGGGCCAGTGCTGTGGCGTAGAGGGTAAAGCTGCCGCCCGCAGTGCCGGCATCCCATATGGATGCCAGTTCGAGTCCCGGCTACTACATTTCCGATCCAGCTCTCTGCTATGGCCTGGGAAAGCAGTAGAAGATGGCCCAGGTCCTTGGGCCCCTGCTCCCACGTGGGAGACCCGGAAGAAGCTCCTGGCTTTGCATCGGCAAAGCTCCAGCCATTGTGGCCAAGTGGGGAGTGAACCAGCAGATGGAAGAGCCCTCCCTCCCTCTCTGCCTCTTCTTCTCTCCCTGTGTAACTCTTCCAATTAAAAAAAAAATGTAAAGTGCTTAGCCCAGGCCTGCCTGACATGTCAGCTCAATAAATGCCACCTGTAATTGTTGCTGTTCCACTTTCCTCCTGCGGGAGGCCTGCCTCCGCCCCCCACCGCCACCCCCACCCCGGCTGTCCCTGAAGCCAAACCTCTCGAACCGGCATCCATGTGGATGCCGGCACTGCAGGCAGAGGCTTAGCCCACCGTGTCACAGCGCCGGCCCCTACAGACCTCCTTTCCTCCTGTGGCTCCCCACTGGCCTCAGTGATGACCCACGGAGTGCCCAGGATGTCACCTGAGCACTTCCGATTGACTCCCATGCAGCCAGCCACGGCTTGTCCAGGCTCCGAGGGTGAGGCAGCCTGCCGGAGGCTGAACCGCAGACGGCAGAGCCCTCACTCACATGGGCAGGAGGAGCTGCTGTCCTCGTCAGCACCCTGGGGACCAGGCCCCCTCACATCCTCCCAGGAGCCCGACACAGCACCTGCCCTGCCCCCCGCCCCCCCGTCAGGTGGGTGCCTCACTCAGCGGCACCAACCAGAGCTGGGGCCCTCCTTGCTTCTGTGGCTAGCACGTGCTGCAGGGGCTCAGCACCGCCTTGCAGGCCTATGCTGCCCAGCCCACAGGCCAGCGCCTGCTGCAGGCCACGCCCGCCCCACCCCAGCGTGGGCCGCCCGCCTGTGGCTGCGTGGGGGAAAGCAGGCAGGACCACATTCTTCAGGCGTGACTTCTGTGCGGGAGTCAGAGGCCTGCTGATGTCCAGTCTCGGCCGCAGGGGCCGAGGGACTGCCAGGCCCACCAGGCTGAGCAGCTGCTCGGCCCCCGTCTCTGTGCCAGGCCAAGCAACCTTTCAGAGTAACTGTGACAGCTGGGCGCCTTCTAAATCTGGGGCCTCGGCAGGCCTCTGTCGCTGCCACCCACACTCTGGTCAGGGTGTGCGGGGGTGGTCTGAGGGCTTAGCTCTTCCAGCTGAAGACCAGCCTCTCCTCCACGGAGAACCCCTAACGAGGCAGCAATTGGGAGAGCCGAGGGCACTGGGATGGGAGGCCTGACACACAACGGGAGCCTTCGCCAAGCTTGGCGCCTTCCCTGGGCCTTGGTTCACTCTCCTGTCAGATGCGGGGGCCCTGGCCACCTGGCTCTGGTTCAGGGAGAGGGGGTGTCTGGGCCACGTGTTTGTCTGGGAGCCAGGCCCAGAGCCAGCGCCCAGGAACCCAGGGCTCTGCAGTCTGCACTCTCCGGTCAACAGGAAGAATTCCTCCGTGGATGGGGCCAGCGCCATGGCGCTGTAGGTTAATCCTCTGCCTGTGGCATGGCATCCCATATGGGTGCCGGTTCTAGTCCTGGCTGCCCCTCTTCCAGTTCGGCTCTCTGCTGTGGCCTGGGAAAGCAGAAGATGGCCCAGGTCCTTGGGTCCCTGCACCCACGTGGGAGACCAGGAAGAAGCTCATGGCTCCTGGCTTCGGATGGAAGCAGCTCTGGTCGTTGCAGCCATTTGGGGAGTGAACCAACGGACGGAAACCCTTTCTCTCTGTCTCTCTCTCTCTCTCTCTGTCTGTAACTCTAACTCTCAAACAAAATAAATAAAATCTTAAAAAAAAATAATGAATTCCTCCGTGGGTAAAACCTTTGTGGCTGGAGAAGCCTGGGGCAGGGGCACAGTACCTGTGGCTCCTCTCTCTCTCCTGCAGGTGGCCTACCACTGTCCACTGCGATTCAGGTGCAGGCTGGTGCTTCCAGGGGGCTGACCTGTCTTCCTGAGCTGCACCCCTTCCCAGAGGGCCACCCCAGGGCTGCTGTCCTGGACACAGCAGGGCCGTGTGCTGGGACTCTGCAGCTCCCAGAGAGACCGTCCCTGGGGAGGCAGGCATCCTTCCCAGGCCCGGGGCTGACCAGAAAGCACAGCGCCTCTCACCACAGGGCACTGCCACCCCCGCAGTCCTGCCGCAGACACGGGGAGCCCAGGGAGGCCCAGAAGAACCCTGGAGCCTCAACCAGCAGAGGGGCACTCTTCTGGAAAAATCGGCCTTGGCAGAAACCCAGGCAGCTGTTTCCCCTGCGAGTGTTGGGCAGACGGGTGGCCTCCTCCCTGCAGGCCGGCAGGGCTGGACCAGAGGCCACGGAAAGGCAGCGAGCAGGACTGAAAACAGGCACACTCGCGCACAGGGCCCAATCTCCAGCTTCTTCCAAAACACGCATGGTGCTGGCAACACTGCGCCCAACAACCCACAGCAACACTGGAGACAGTGACATGCCCCACGTGGCCCAGAACCAAGGGCCCCGGTTTCAGACTGAGAGAACCCAAAGGGCACCTAGCACGGGGATGAAAATAGACCCACACGAGGCTCATCTCTGCGGGCCACAGATCCTCCAAGCTTGTGGGAGGGAGGGCAGGTGCAAGAGACACAGACACGGAAGAGAAGGAGATCCTTGGGGAAGGACCGGGCAGGACAGCGCCGGCCTCCCAACAGCAGCCCCAGCACCTAGAAGGCCAGGGAGCTGCCCTTTCAAAGTCCCAGGGGAGAACCATCTGCGCCCCAGAGCCCTACACTGGAACTGTGGAAAAAGCCTGGGGTACAACCAAGTCGCCCGCACCTGGCGGCCTCTGACACCAGGCCCAGGCAGCCTTCCGCAGAAAGCTCTGGAAGAACGGCTCTGAGCAAGACGACAGCGCAGGGCCCGCTGAGGCAGAGACAGGGAGCACTCCGTGGGGATGAGACAGGGAGGGCCGGGGGCAGCCGGGCTGCAGGCCACCGGGACCTGGGGGCCAGAGGCTCTGAGCCGAGATGCCTGGGTTGCGGCACGGGCTTGCGGCCAACAGGAGAAAGCTCTCTCCTGGGCGTGAACTGGTGAAGAGCGACAGAGACGCAGGCAAGCAGTCAGGGGCTCCACATGAGGAAGGCAGTAGCTAAGATCTTAAAACAGGGAAGGCAGAGGTCACAGCGTAATCACGCTTCTGAAAACAGCGGGGATCAGTGCAACAAACAAGGCAACCAGAGCCGGGGCTTCTGGACGGGGAGGGCAGGGGCACAGGGCTCGTCTTCCACGGCGACCACCTGCACCTGCCAGGGCTCGACTTTCTACACTAACCACAACCTCCCTCACGGTGAACCAACAAGGCACAAGCACAAGCAAACCCAAGATCCGCCTGCCCCCTTGCCCAGGCCCGTGTGCCCGCAGTAGGGACTGCCCCAGGCTGGGCATGGCTCCCCAGTTCTCAGCCTGCTCCTCACAGCTCATGCATCCATGTGTCCTGCAGGTCCTGGGTTCTGAATATGCACATGCACACACACACACGCACCCCCCCCCCCCCACAGGCACACACAGCTCATTCAGACATTTCCTGGGCACCTCCTGGGTGCCAGTCGCTCAGGGAGCAACAGTGGCCGTCCCTGCCAGGCTGGCAGGGCGGGGTGGGTGCCACTCCATCTGGTCACTGCCACAGGAGTGAAGCAGCTGACCCAGTCAGGGCAGGCTTCTTGGAGGAATCGGCCCAACCGCAAGCCCAAGAGGAACAGGTGCAGGTGTGCGAAAGGCAAGCTTCAAGGCCTACTTTTGGCAGCTTCCAGGTCCCAGACGCGGATGGAGCCCGACTGGGAGCCGGCCACGATGAGCTCCTCGGGGGTGTTGAGGCGGACACTCTCCACGGGGGATGTGTGGCCCGTCAGGCTCTGTGGAAGAGAGTGGCAGCTTCAGGATGCCCCCCCAGCCACCGCAGCCCCGAACTTGGAGTCTCTGGAAAAGGCTGCAGCGAGAGTGGCCCGCAAGAGAGGCTATCCTCGGGCCACACGTGGCCTCCGCGGGCCACCCCTGAGTAGCCACAGCTCCCGGCCTCAGCTTCTGGGGCTGAAGCCCAATCCTCCCACCACCAGCTGCACTCCAAGGTGGCCGTCACTGGCAGACAAGGCCCCGGGTCCCCCGAAGGGGAGCAGCTGGCCCAGATAACAAACAGCAGTCTCTTTAGTGCTGAGGCCACAGAGCCCCACCCCACACCCAGCTCTCAGCTCCTGCTTCTGCCCAGCCCAAGCTGGGCCCTCAATGACGGGAGCCAGGGCAGGATGGAGGCCTGACTCAGCACACCCCTCACACCCTCGCAGGCCAGCAGCCACAGGGAGCTGCATGGGGACTGGGAGGATGGGATTCTCACCCAGCTCTGAGCACAGGGAGCAGGGGTGGCGGCTCCTCCAGATTTCTGAGGTGCACGGTGTCGGACATGCCACCTCCATGCCTCCCCCCTCCCCCTGGCACAGCAGCGCTGCCATCAGCATTTACTGTAACATTCCCACAGAGGGCTGGAGGGCCGGGGAGGGGCTGACGCTCATCAGCACCACAGCGCCGAGGCCAGAGCTTCCAGCGGCACGTCCATCACTGTGGGGGCTCGGGTGGGCCTGAATGCCGCCGAGGGCAACAGCTACCCGCGTGGGAAATGCACATTTTCTTCAAACCTGCGACGCCAGCACTGGGAAGGTGCAGTGCTCACACACACCCGAGGCCGGCCTCCACTGCGCACCTGCCTGGCGAGATGGCAGCCGGGACAGACACGCCCACCCCGCAGGGCCCGGGGTTGCGGCAGAGCGTTAAGCATCCCATGTTGGAGTGCAGGTTTGAGTCCTGGCTGCTCTGCTTCTGACCCAACTTCCTGCTAATGCTCCTGTCAGATGGCCTGAGTGCTGGGGCCCTGCCACCCACATGGGAGACCAGGATGGCAGCCCAGGCTCTTGGCTTCAGCCTGGCCCAGCCCATGTGGGGAGTAAACCAGAAAATGGAAGATCTCTCTTTCAAATAAATTATAAAATACACCTTTAAAAAAAGAAACGCCCACCCCAGGGACTGGCAGGCTAAGCCGTGTTTAGCTGCAGTCCCCCACATGAGTGAGTGAGCCGACCCTTCAAATGAGGAGTCGGAGCTTCAGGGCCTCCTGGTGAAAAACGAGGACGATGGGTCCAGCGTGATACACTTTGTAAAACAGTGAAGAGAGCCGGCCACACCTGCTCGCGTGCACCTAAAATAATTCTGGAAGGACACAGAGGGATTGTGATCCATGGGCACCTCCAGAAAGAGATGCGGGGACCCGAGGAGGGAGGGAGGGAGACCTTTCTCCATTTATCCTGCATATTTCACAGGCTGAACTCCTGTGTCCCAGCCTCAGAAATAAACAAAGCCAGCAGCACCCTGGGAGGCCGCAGGGGATGGCTCAAGAACGTGGGCCCCTGCCACCCACATCAGAGACCCGGACTGAGTTCTGGGCTCCCAGGCTTGTGCCTGGCCCACCCCTGACCGTTATGGGCATTTGGAGAGTAAGCCAGCGAATGGAAGATCTCTTTTTCAAATCAAATGCAAGTAAATAACAACGTAGAGACCCAGCAACCAAGAGAAACAGCAGCAGGAGCAGCAAAGTGCGCTGCCTGCAGAGGGAGCAGCAGGGGCAGAAGTCCCAAGGCCAGAGCGCACCTGCCCGGCTGAGCCACCCAGGCCGGGCAGCTGGTCTACAGCGAGCTGGGGTCTGCCTGAGGCTGCACCTGGTGTCCAACGAGAGGTCCAAGGTGGGACCCTTTGCACCGGTAACCGCTTCTCTGGGGGGCCAGGGCACGGGGTCATTTCATGCCGATTTGGGGTCAGTCTTTGCTGATTCTCTATTAACTTGTGTATCTGGTTGGGGGGAGTTGGGCCGGGAGAAGGGGGTTTGTAACCCTATTCTTTTTTTTAAAGAAAACAAAACATTTCAGTTCTATTCTTGCTGAACCGCAGCACTCCAGTTCTGGTTCAGGCAGATCCCAGTCGGTCCCCCGGGTCACACGGAAACACGGCAGTGACGAAGTTTCTGCTAACAAAGATCACCGCCCAGCGTCCTTTCCCTTCTCCTTGATCTGGCCAAGGGTCAGAGAAGGCTCGTTCACTGCGCTGGCTGGGATGCGAAGGGAAAGGGCCGCTTCCCGCGCTGCCGCCGGTGAGCAGGTGAACTGATTTCTGGAGGGCAGTTTGGCTAAAGGCTTTGGAAGGTTTTTAAAACGTGCACACCCTTGGATTTGATGCAACCATCCCAGATGTGCTCCAAGGGCAGGTCGATGTTTGCCAGCGAGCTTTAAAAAAACTGGAGACACCCTCCTTGCTCATGGCAGGGCGTGGCTAAGCTAATCACAGCCTACCCCACCGTGGGATACCATGAAGCCTTTAATATTCACCTTGTAACAGCACTGGTTGACATAAGAAAATCCTGCAACATTGTTATCCTAAGAGAACAGGCTATACTAGAATAAATAAGATAGTGTCCTCGGAATATGTTCCTATGCATACATGTGTGTTTACATACATGTGCATCTACATGCATGTATGAGCACAGGCGTGCGCACACACACATGTGCATGCACATACAACTATCTCAAGCACCTGCAAGGACACAGACCAAAATACCAACTACAGTCCTTGCCACTTAAGAGAACTGGACTCGGATGTCGTCCCTTGTCTGTTTTCCACCTGCATGCTTGCCTGTTTGGGCAAACAGTCTCTAGCACTCAACACAGTCATGTACCTAAACGCTGTTAAAGGACAGCAGCCCAGCCAGGTCCCCCAGACACTCTGAGGCCTGAGGCAACTGGCGCCCCGTGTGAATGACAGCGGGCAGGTGGGCAGGTGGGCAGGGGAGGGCTTCAAGCCTTTCAGTTCAACCGCAGGCCTGGGGTTTCTTCGCCCTTCCTGTGAGGGGCCCCTTGGAGTTCTCTCCCACGGCCAGGGGCGCCCCCACTCCCGAGGGCCGGCCTCTGTCCTGCCAGCCAGGGGAGCACTGACGGAGCACCGTGGACGCGCTGTGGACGCCACGGCCCGGGCTGCGCCTCCGGAGCCCGCAGCGCGCCTGCTCCCCGCCCGGGCCCCGCTCACCATGATGCAATTGGGTTTGTTGATGGACCACAGGTTGACGCGGCAGTCATCCCCGCCCGTCGCCAGCAGCCGCCCGGAGGCCTTGCCCAGCACCAGCGAGGACACATTGCTGGCGTGGGCGACGATCTCCTCTGCAAGGCAAGGGGGAGGGAAGGCGGTCAAGCACACGAGGGGCCGCGTGGTGGGGGGAGCCCCGCGTGGGGACCGGCAGCCTGGCCGAGCATGGGCCCAGGCACGGGCCCAGGCACACGCGACTCTCCCAACTTTGGCCACCCCTTTTGAGTTTTCACCTTTCTCTGCACATCAACTGGTAATACCAATGAACTTCAAAATCAACTTGCTAGTTTTGGATCGTTTGATCCTAAGCAATAGTATCCATGAAATTACAAGTCTCATTGGCTCTTGATATTTTACCACAACACAAAAACAGAGATAACTATTAAAATAAAAAAAAAATGGACCCATGCCCACTTGGACACCCATGCTCGCTTTGGAGAACAATTAAGAACAATTCAAGGGTGGCCCACACTGTGGCGTAGTGGGCTAAGCCTCTGCCTGTGGTGCAGCATCCCACAGGGTCACCGGTTTATGTCCCAGCTGCTCCCCTTCCGATCCAGCTCTCTGCTATGGCCTGGGAAAGCAGTGGAAGACTGTGCAAGTCCTTGGGCTCCTGACTGGTGTGGGAGACCTGGAAGAAGCTCCTGGCTCCCAGCTTTGGATTGGCCCAGTTCTGGCCACTGCAGCCATTTGGGGAGTAAACCAGTGGATAGAAGACCTTTTTCTCTGTCTCTCCCTCTATAACTCTACCTCTCAAATAAATAAAAAAACTTAAAAAATATTCTTAAACTTAAATCGTCAGCAAATAATTCAAGTCACCTTGGGACAGGCTATGCCTAGGTGAGCTCGCATGGGACTTCAGTTCTCCGAGCGGAATCACTGGTCAGCTTTGGCCTGGGCCCTGCTGATGCTCTGTGGCCTTTGACAAATCACTTGTCCTCTCTGAGGCGGGGTCCCTCGTCCGGTGAAGATGGGTGGCAGTGGTGCCTATCCCATGGGGTTGCTTAGATTCCTGGAGACCATGTGAGGGGCTATAGCACGTACCCTGAGGCTGCAGGCTGGCTAAGACCTGTGGCCACACATGTGGGCTTCAGGAGGTGGGGGATGGAGGCAGCAGAGCGAGCAGGCTGGGCGGGGTGAGGGCTGACCACGCTGAGCGGGAGATAAGGCCTGTGGGCAGCCGAGGGCCCCTGGCCTGGCCTGCGAGGCAGCAGCGGGGGCCGCAGACATGAACCTCAGGGTACCTTGTCAGTGCTCTGAAGGGTAGGGGACAAAGGCAAGGGACCAAGCGGTGCAGACTCCAGGCCAGCCCCTGGGGGATTCCCCCTGGGAGCCTGCAGGAGGACAGCACAGCCCACCAAGGCCAGGGCAGACCTGATACGCCAGCGCCCAGGGCAGCCGAGACGCCTCGCAGGAATGCGGCTCGCGGCTCTCCCACAAAGGGCCTTTTCTGAGTGCCAGCTCTGGACTCCCACCCCGGGGGCCACAGGCCCAGGCCAGCGGCTCGCGAGGAGCTATGAGAAGGCCGGGCAGCAGACCCCAGGCTCAGCCTCACAGACACCCACCTTGGGGCCTGGCCAGGGCAGCGCCCTCAGAGGCAACACCCAGCCCCAGTGAGGACAGGTGCTCCCTGCAGTCCGAACACAAGCCGGGTGCTGGGGGCCCATCGCTTGGATCCAAGGGAGCTGGGGCCCTCTCTGGCCCTCGCCTCTCCCTCAGAGCCTCTGGCCTCTGGATCCTGGGGGGACACACACTTGGGGGGCTCTGGCCCCAGACACCTGTCCGCTCAAGACCTTCCGTTGCACCCTGAAAGCAGGCAGAGTACCTTCTCCCTGAGCGCTCTGCCCCTCTTCCAGAAGGCACCCCCTGCAGGCGGTGAGGCCTCCGAGTTCTGCCCGGGCTTGGGCGGCACTGCACTGCCCAGGAGACAGCCACTAACTCCTAACTAGGCATGTCCTGGCGATCTGGCTAGGCCTAGCACTCGGAGGCTGCAGGGAATGGAAGGAAGTCCCTGGCTTCACGCTGCAGGGAGATCGGGCAGAGGGCTCAGGGGCCAGCGCAGCGAGCTGCAGACCACAGACTTTGGGAATGACAAGGGGTGAGAGGCTGGGTCCTTCTAGAAGGGTCCAGACTGTTCCCCTCTAAGCAGCCTACTAGGAGCTCTTTGGAGCCCATGGCGAGAGGCAGGGGTATGGGGGCCCCAGCAGAGGCGGCACAGGGCACACCGTGAAGCCTGGCTTGAAGGGCAGCAGCTGCCGACGGCCCGGCCTGGGCACCGCACCTGCATGCACACGAGCACCCTCGAGTGCGGCAGGCGGGCCAGCTCACAGCCGCCGCTCCGTACTGTGGCCCAAGCCCTCCCCGGGACCCAGCGCAGGCCCACATCTGGGCCAACACCGGGAACACGGGGCGTTCTGGTCCCAGGCACTGAGGACTTGCATCCGGTATGGAAGACACAATGAACCAGGGAGGACGACCCCAGGCTGGCTGAGTGGCTTTCGATCCTCACTGGGCCCCAGAGCCACCGTGAGCCACAGGCCACTGTGGCCTCGGGACATGTGGGTGGATCGTAATCTCGAAAAGCACTATGCCCAGGAAACTGCCCGCAGGTGCCCAACGTGCCGCCTCACTTCCCTCCTGCTCCAACACAAGACGGCTTGTCCTTGCTGTGAGGACAAAGCCTCAGTCTCAGAAGGGCGGGGGCCGCCCTCAAGTGGCACCTCGTTCCCCCTGCAGCTGCCCCTTTCAGTCCTTCCAATCCACGGGGCTGCTGGCCTGGGGGCAGCCTGCAGCGCTGCCTGCCCACCTATCCCATCCCGCAGCACAGCTCAACTCAGAGAAGGAGCAGTGGGCGGATGCGGTGCAGGCTCCTGGGCCCCCGCGATACAGCGTCCTTGTCCATTCTGTCCCCCTCGCGCTCCCCAGCACCGTTCCATGCTCAGGAAAGCCCGGCTAAAATTGAAAGGCTGGATACGACGCTGCTCTGTCCAAAGTATAGCCTTCTTGGGGAACCATAATCGGGTTCTCCCCAAACCAGAAGGCTTTGGAGAACAATTAGAGAAACTGAGGTCCAGCAAAGAGCTTTGCCCAGGGTCTCAAGGTTTAAAAGTGGGCAAGCCTCGCCCCAGCTCCCCTCAACAGCCCAGGGACAGCGTGCAGCAGGTGACCAGGTGGAGCGCATCACACCTGGGCCGACTAGTAGTTACAGCTGGGGGACGGCTCAAAAGGCCGACGCACAGAGCATTCTCAAAACATGGTCTGGGGCCCTCAAGGTCCTTACAGCGAGACAAGAGGGCAAAACTACATTCCTAACACGACTAAAACCGTAGCTGCCTTTTGCAGTCTCGTTTGCTCACAGCATATGCTGGGGTTTTCTGGAAGATACAGGTCACGGGAGGCACCATCAGTGGCATGTAGTGACTATAGGTATTCTTGAGTTTTAATACGTCTCAGTATTCATTTCTAACGTGTCATCACTCCCATCCACAAGAGCACTCAGGGTCCTCAATAATTTTTTAAAGTATAAAGCGGTCTTGAAACCAAAGAGCTTACTTAGGATCAGTGCAGAGTAATGGCGGGGTACTGCATTGCAGGCCCCGGTGTAGCCCTCTGCCTGCCCCAACCCCCTTCCTTCTGCCACCCCTTGCACCCCCAAACCCAGACACTCCCATCCGTGTCAAGTTTGACATCCGAAACACCGAAAACACCTGCGAGGAGTCGTCACCCCGCTCTGCCCGTCAGCCCTCCGGAAATCCGGGGCTAAGCGCTGTAGTCTATCCACGATCCCACTTGAATCTTGTAGCGACTATGGAATACAGGTGCGATCATCTCACGATACAGACAGCAAAACAGCCCCAAAGAGGCCAAATCACCTGTCCCGTGTCACCCAGCTAAGAAGTGATTGCCATCTTGGTCTCCCCGCCAAGAACAGGAGACAAAGCTACAGGCTCAAGCCAACCCCTAACCAGCAGCTCCCAGAACAGACCGGGGTGGTAAAGAAACCTGCAAACTACTCACGCAACTTCCAGGCTGTCTTGGTGACCACGGGGGTGGCCATTCTTCAGGGGCTGGCACCTGAGGCTCCGCCCACAATACCGGACTGCGCTTTCCTGCTGGGGTGGGGGGCGGATCCCCCCCAGATCCACCAATCAAGTTGGCAGGGAGTTCCCACACATCCAGGCAGGGGGAATGCCTTCTCTCCTGGCCCTGAGCTGCCTTTAAACCATCCGCCGCAGGCAACAGCAGCAGCCTGTGTCCAGCCACCGCGGTCCAGGAGCTCCGGGCGTCAGACTGGAGCCATCTCAGCTCAACACCGGCCTGGAACAGACACAGGGGCGGCTTGTTAGGAGATCCCTGGGAAGAGCCACAGCTCCCTGCATCACCCAGAGCCCCCCAGGGCCAGCGGCCGTACTGCAGATTGGGTCTGAGGATCGCCAGCGGGGGCACCTGGGGCAGGGCGGCTCGGACAGAACACAGGGCAAAGGGGAGGCGGCTCTGCCTCCGGAGTGCGGCAGCCGCAGTCGGCGGGGAGGACCACGTGCCTGCAATTCACACAGATTTCTAGAGTCACTGCTTCTGGCTGACCTAAGGGATAGAGGGTGGGGTCAGAGGCTAGACTCGGGGACCCGGAAAGGTACCTCCGAGAGAGAGCCATCCAAGTCCTCTCGGGGAGCATCTCAGAGGCCCCTGGGGTCCAGACCCCCCAGCTCCTGGCAGGGAACCCCTCCTGTCCCCCGCGATGCCCCAAGGACGGAGCAGGGAACCAGGCCTCCGGTCCGGGCGGGAGTCGGTTATGACTCCAATTACAAAAGGCCACTTCGCGGGGCCTCCCACCACCCGCTTCTCGCACCCCCTTCTTCCCTCTCCCGTGAGCCCCTTCCCTGCGCCCCCTGTCTCCTGGGTCCCCCCGGTCTGCCTTTCTCTGGCCGTCCACGGCTTCCATTCCCAAACATCCCGCCTCCTAAACTCCCTAACTTGGCCCCCCCCTCGAGAGCCCCCTCCTCCCCTCTCCCCACTGCTAAGGTGGCCCCCATTCATTCACTCTCCTGGCCTCGCGTCCCTATCCATCACCCACCCTCCTGCAGGCCCCCAGCTCTGCTTCCGGCCCTCCAGGTTTCCCCCCTCCGGCCCCGCTGGTCCCGAAGCTGGGGCTGGCCTCTCAGCCCCGCCTGATCCTCCCACCCGTCTCGGCTACCGGGGCACGGGCTCTAGCCTCCCCCTGCCCGGAGCTCGCTCCGGTGCCCGGCCAGCCCCGCCTGGCGCGGCCCAGGCCAGCACCCGTCCTCCCCTCGCCTCCTCGCCTCCTCGCCCCCCTGCCCACCCCACCTGCAACTGCGGCTCCCGAGGCCGAGACGCTCGCTGCTCCAGGAGCGACCCCCACTTGCTTCCATCCCCTGCTCTGATTGGCGGCTGCTTGACAACCGACCCTCACAACAAAACCTCCGGCCCAGAGCCCCGCCCACCACACCTCCCACACCAATCAGCCGCCGTCGACGCTCCACCTCCCGCCAGCATTGACCAATGCAAGCAGGCGCTTCTGCCGCTTTTCCTAAATACCCGCCCACTTTTCCCTGAATCCGACTAATCACGAGAAAGGAGCGTTCAAGAGCCTCCCCTCGGCCTCTAGTGAACCAATGCGGGGGCTGCCATCCTCTTGGTCCCGCCTCCACCTTAAGCTTTCCCTCGCCTCCCTTTTTCCTTCTCTTCCTAGAACCTAGTTTGCGTTTGAAAAATTTGAGAAACGCCCTCCAATGGAGACTGCGCCAATCGCTTTAGCAACCGTCTTAGATTGACCAATAAGCGTCCACATTATTGGACGAACCATTTCCAGATAACCAATGAGAAGGGGAATGGGAGAGCATCGTGAAGCCGCGGATTCCATCTTGGAGTGGGGCGAAGCAAAAACATAGCCTTAGTCAGCATTTTGCCACAGTTTCTCTTTCTTCTCCCTGCCTGTGGGCGGTCCGCGTGGCCTGAGGACTTTGCCCCTCTCCTTTGACCCTGGCGCTGGCTTGAGCATCTGTCGCGAGCGGTCTAGAGGGCAAAAGCCCGGTCCTGTGTCCCTGGTCGGGCGCAGAGCCAGAGTGCGGTTCCCACAGCGGGGCCGCGGCGGATGAATGAGTGGGCGGTGTGGCTGCTTCCCGAAGGGGACCTCAAACTAGGAATCCGAGGGAGGCCCACGTTATTTGTGACACCTTAGCTGGATTGGCTCTGGAACGGCTGTAACCGGCTAGGGGAGGCGGTCCCTCCGCGGTCCTGCCGGCCGAGGGCCGCCTGGGGAGAGATCCCGGCTCCCCAGCCTCACTGTGGGCCCAGCGCCTGAAGCCTCCCGGTTGGTTCCTGCAGGACAGGAGGCTAGATCTCGCTTAGATTCGCCACAACCCTCAGGGGCAGGAAGTCACCTGAGGCCCAGGTGAAGGTGCTTGAGAAAAGGAGCGCACAGCCAAAAGCCGCGGCCCAGGACTGGAAGCCTTGGTGGGCTCCCTGCCGCCCTGCACCCCCCGCTGCCCTCACAGGCGGTTTCCGCTGGGAAGACCTGGAGCAGGACGACACGGGGTGGGGGGCCGGAGGGAAGGTGGCTGGCCTGCAGCTCCCCTCGACTTGCATTAGGGAAACCTTCCCCCAGAGCACTCGGGAGGACAGGAGAATGGTCGCCGCCTTGGTCTCAGCAAATGGAGACAGGGGCTGGGCGGCCCCAGTCATCAAGAAGAGGAAATGTTAAGGCTATTTGCCCCGTTTGATTGGTTTGTACCGTGTTGAAATATTGCGCTGTACCCCATAACATTGTACGAGTAGTACAGGTGTTAATTAAAAAATTTTTTTGAAGAAAAAATAATTTCCCATATTTGCGTCGTCTTTTTTCCCTAAACCATTGAGAATTGTGGGTAAGACAGTTCACTCCAGCACTAAATACTGAGGCCGGCCTTATGGAGCAGCAGGTTACGTCTGGCCTGGGACCCCCAGCATCTCATATTGGGAGGCCAATTTAAGTCGCTGCTACTCCATTTCTTTAAAAAAAAAAAGTATTTATTTTATTTGAAAGAGTTACACAGAGAGAGGAGAGGCAGAGACAGAGAGTCTCCCATCTACTGGTTCACTCCCCGATTGGCCCTAACAGCGGGAGCCACACCGATCCAAAGCCAGGAGCTTCTTCCAGGTCTCCCATGCAGGTGCAGGGGCCCAGGGACTTGGGCCATCTTCTACTGCTGTCCCAGGCCATAGCAGGGAGCTGGATAGGAAGTGTAGCACCCGGGTCTCGAACTGGCACCCATATGGGATGCCGGGCTTCAGGCCAGGGCGTTAACCCGCTGCACCACAGCGCTGGCTCCCCTACTCCATTTCTGATCCAGCTTCCTGCTCCTGTGCCTGGGAAGGAGTAGCAGGTGGGCAAAATACCTAGACCCCGACCACCCATGTAGGAGATCAGGATGGACTTCCAGGCTCCTGGCTCAGACCTGGCTGTTGCAGCCATTTGGAGATAGAAGCAGCGGATGGAAGATAACTCTAACTCTCTCTCCCTCTATTGCTCTGCATTTCAAATAAATTTTTCTAGGAAGTTAATGTTTAAAAAAATAAGGCCTTTATTCTACATAATCACTGTATGATCACTCCCAATAATCCGCTAACATAGTTTATATTCAGGTGTCCCAAGTATCTTTTTAATAATGCTTTTCTAACTAGGAATCAATCAGAATTCAGCACATTTGGCTCTTTTCTACTCCCCAGGTGTTTTTTTTTTTTTTTTTTTAATGACTCTGGCAGAAATCAGGCCCTTTGCCTTACTGAGTGTCCCAAATGATGGATTGGTATTTTCTCTCGGTATCGTTTACCTGTTCCTCCTCGCCTGCATTTGTTAAATGGACGTTGGCTCTAAAAGCTTGATTAGAGCCACGAGAAGCTTTTAAAAGTGCTTCTTGTGGCAGTGTAATACATATAACCCCAAAGGCTACTTACTGCAAGCGTACGTGGTGGCGAATCTTCAGTCAGCAGCCCTGGGTCAGGAGCAGGACGTCACCACCAAGCAGGAGCCCCGCCACTGCTCGGGTCCCTTCACTGCTCCTCGCAGCCTGGGAGCGAACATGCTCTTGACTTCTAGTCCCATCTCTGGATTTTGTGTTTTTCTTCTTTATATACATAGAATCATACAGTACTTTTTTGCATCTAGACTCAACATTATTCTTGAAAATTTAAATATCATTCTATGTAGTTGTAATTCATTTTATAGCCTGATAGCGGCCTCCGTATTACTGACATTTGGGTTTAATGTGTGTGTGTGTGTGTGTGTTGAGGGGGGGACTCTCCTGTGCATTGTAGGATGTTTGGAAGCATTATCTTCCCTAATCAATTATTACAACCAAAAATATCACAAGACTACAATGTATGTGCCATTCTACTCTTGGGCACTTGGATGGTTTCCAGTTTGGCCCTGGTATCAACAGTACTGCTTACCCACACGGCCTTCTGTGGTATCTATGTTTATCTGTCTAGCTGCATTTTTGTTAAGTTCATGGAATGGATGGACAGGAGGTAGAAATGGAATTATGGGTCCAGTGTGCCAAAGTGGTTGTGCTAATTTACACCTCCACCAGGAAAGCTGTTTGAGAGCTCCAGGTGTTCCTCATCCCCACCAACCCTCATTGCAGCCAAACTGGTGGGCATGCATGTGGTGGCCCTGTCCCCTAATGACTGCTTCTGATAACATTCTCGTGTGTTTCTTGGCTGTTTTTTTAGAGCTAACACCTTAGTGAGGACTCCCATGTGCCATCCCAGTCCTCTCTGCTCTATAAGCCATATTTAATGCACCAATGCCACCCCATTGCACAAATGGGCAAACTGTCTGGTACAAAGAGGAACTGGGATTCAGTCCTTTGCATTCTGACGTCAGGCGGCCCCTGTGCTCCGGACCATGCACCGTGGCCTTGCCGTTGCCAGCCACCCGCTGGGACACCTAACAGCTTGTTTGCAGGTGTCTGTGAGACCATCTGCAGAGGGGCTTGAAAACTCAGCACTCCAAGGGGAGAAAGGACAGAAGGGGCCGGCGCTGTGGCAAAGTGGGTAAAGCTGCCACCTGCAGTGCCAGCATCCCATATGGGCGCTGGTTCAAGTCCTGGCTGTTCCACTTCTGATCCAGCTCTCTGCTACGGCCTGGGAAAGCAGAGAAGATGGCCCAGGTCCTTGGGCCTCTGCACCAGCGTGGGAGACCTGGAAGAAGCCCCTGGTTCCTGGCTTTGGATCGGCAAAGCTTTGGCTATTGTGGCCAACTGGGGAGTGAACCAGCAATGGGAGACCCCCCCCCCCCTTCTCTCTGTGTAATGCGGCTTTCAAATAAGTAACTCTTTAAAGAAAGAAAGAAAGGACAGGAAGCAAGTGTGGACGGTGGCTGTGGGGGGGTGGGGGTGGGGGGGGGGGAGGTGTTGGCTTACAAAGAAGGGAAGGCAATGGGGAGAGTGTTTGGCTTAGCGATTGGCGTGCCTGTGCCCCATATCAGAGTGCCTGGTTTCCGTGCCAGCTCCAGCGCCTGACTCCAGCTTCCTGCTACGCAGACCCAGGGAGACAGCAGAGATGTCTCAAGTAACTGGGCTCTGGCCACGCCGGCTCCCGCACCAACCCCCAGCCTTTTAGATGTTGTGGGGAGTGAACCAACAGGTTGTGGCTTCTCTCTCCCTCTCTCAAGCTAAAAAAAAGTGTGTGTGTGGGGAGGGGGGATAAAGGCTGGTGCTGGAGCTTATGAAGCATGAGGCACAAATTCCAATGTTTATTTACAGGAACGTTGTGAGAAGTGGGAGCAGCCAGGCCGTGGAGGATGGGGGGGTGGGTGGGCTGTGTAGATAGACGGCCATTAGCTGGTGTCGGAGCTTGGGCTGGGCTGTGGGCGGGGCTGGGCTGTGGGCGGGGCTGGGCTGTGGGCGGAGTTCCCTCCCTCTGCGCTTCAGCTGAGTCCTCGGGGGAGGGGGCATCAGGTGAACACTTTGAGGAACTCCACCAGGCGGGGGTCCTTGTAGAGCTTCTCCTCCAGAGCCAGGTACTTCAACGGGGCCAGCTCCTTGTGTCTGCAGTCGGAGAAGAGGGGTGAGGCATCACAGCACTGGGGGCCCAGCCCCCCGGCCGGCGCTCCCCAGGCCCCCCCCCCCGGCTCCCCAGCCCCTCAGCCCCTCACCGGCTGAGCCGCTGCTCCAGGATGCGGATGCGGAACATGGCCTGAGAGCAGTAACTCAGGTACAAGTCTTCATCCTCGGGCGTCAGGGTCACCTGGTTCTCCTGGTACCACTGCTGCTTCTTCTGCAGCTCCTGGGTCTCCTGTGGGCACAGGCAGGCGGGGAGAGCGCTGATGACTCCGGCCCTCGCCCGGGTTGCAGGATGCAATCCCACTGGTCACCAGATGGCCCCATGGGGGTTCATCCCCCTGTCCCTTCCCATGCAGGCCAGGAAGGCGGGGCAGGGGCCGCGGGCTGTCTCGGTGGGAGTTTCTGGGTCGTAT